TAAACCTCGCCTTTGCCATTCTTGGCAACATTCTTTGCTTGAAGCTAACCTCCAAGTCATTTTCTCTACTGCAGTGGTTCTCAACGTGTGGTCGCTGGGCCAGCAGCATCAGCATCAGCAGGGGGCTCATTAGAAATGCCCTACACTTCAGGTCCCAGCCCAGACCTTCTGAAGTCAGAAACTGTGTGAGCAAGCCCTCCAGGTGATTCTGGCTTGAGAACGGTGGCTGTACTGAATGCATGGGCCAATCTCACTTTGCTTCTGAATCCTGTTCTATTCCAAGTATTAAGGATTATTACAGATTAGTTCTCATCTTCCAAAATATCATAACAATAAAAATAAGCTACAGCTTTCATTATCATTGTCCCCAAGCTAAACCTCTACAGATCCAACAGAGTTTCTTTGGAAGGGCTTTTAACTCCATGATAGACAAAACTGGCAAGTGAATGCAATGTACAGATTTGGGGAATTTTCTCCCATACTTGACACCGCCCTGCTGCCTTCGAAGCACCTCAGTGCAGATGTTCTCATGCCACAGAATACCCACCCAACTCACCCGACTGCCCCATCCAGGCCTTGTCCTGTCATTCCCCAGAATCCGAAATTTCCTCCTCTCTTCCTTCAATAAAATGTCCAGGCCAGGCGCGGTGGCTCACGCCTGTAATCCCAGCGCTTTGGGAGGCCGAGGTGGGCTGATCACGAGGTCAGGAGTTCGAGACCAACCTGGCCAATATGGTGAAACCCCATCTCTACTAAAAAAGTACAAAAATTAGCCAGGCCTGGTGACATGTGCCTGTAGTCCCAGCTACTCGGGAAGCTGAGGCAGAATTTCTTGAACCCAGGAGGCAGAGGTTGCAGTGAGCAGAGATCGCGCCACTGCACTCCAGTCTGGGCGACAGACCAAGATTCTGTCTCGGAAGGAAAAAAAAAATAATCCATTCACTTGTAAGTTTGGTCTCAAGAGAGTAGTTGGAGAAAAATATTGATTAATTTATAATTAAAAGATTAATCACTAATGACCTCCCTCCTTAATTGATCCAGGTTGTATAATTTTCTAAGAGTTTTTTTTTTTTTTTTTCCAACCTCAAAGAACTCTATTTGGGAAAGTTTTGAGTACTGTGTCAAAACAAAATGAAGGTCTTTTGTTTGTTGTTTTTCTGGAGGGTAGGTTTGGAGACTGGGGTGGCCAGTGCCCTTTAAATGACAAGTTCATGGAGCAAATACTCAGCTAACACGAGGCCAGTCCTGTTTGGCAACTGCCTCCCATCCCTGGGTCAACAGCCCATCAGTCTGTTGACCTTGAAGCCATGGCACCAGGCTTATCCTTGTACTTTTGCTGCATTCCATATTGGGTGGGGTTTTGGTTTGGGTGTGTGTGTGTGTGTGTGTGTGTGTGTGTGTGTGTGTATGTTTTGTTGTTTTGTTTTGTTTAGATATTTCAATTTCTTAACAGGAAATTTTAGCTGCTGGTTTGAATTTAATTGAAGTATTTTGTATGTACACCTTGAGACCCTCAGGCTAGGGTATATTTTTAATAAATCAAACAAATAAATTCCAAGTTTGTACTAACTGAAATGTCCTCATGTCTTCAATGATGGCCCTCTGAACGAAAATACTGAAAAATGCAAGAATAATGCTGCCTTAGTGGCAAATATATATATGAAAAGCAGCCCAGATTTTAAAAGAGAAAAAAATTCATGGCCTAAATTTTCCTGGAAATTAATCCCAGTTCCAACTTCCAGAGATCACTCTGAACCGAAAGCCCCAAATAGGAGGAAAGGGAAATTGGTGTGTAATGAACATTGTGCCAGGTGCTTTATTTCTTTATGGGACAGTTGGGTTAAGTGATTTTAACCAATCAGATACAGCTCCCTGAAGAGAAACTCCCATTCCTGGTCAAACTGTAGGACTGACTCAGGTTTGCATATAATGCATCAACCAAAGTTAGGCCATTGTATCAGTCAGGATATTCTTTTAAATAACCAGAGGTCTTTGTTGTCTCTTAGAATTGGAATGTCAAGTGGGAAGATAAGTTTCAGAGGCTGTTTGATTGAGCAACCCAAAAATGTCATTAAGAAAAGATCCGGTTTCTTTCCATCTCTCCACCCACTCTACTTTTTACAAGTCAATCAACCCAAGTTGTCTTTTTGTTTTGTTTTGTTTTGTTTTGTTTTGTTTTGTTTTCATGATAACAAAATGGTGGCAGCCGCTCCAGACTTCATACTGACACGTCACAGCAGCTAGAAGAAAGACTTTTCCTCTGTTGCCTCTCTCAGAGGAGTGAGGAGACTTTTTTTGCAGAATGCCCCAACAAAACTCTTTTCTATTTGTTCTTTCATCGAATATTTACTGAGACTTACTATGTGGCAGGCACTTGGGTTTTATTAGAAAACAAAACAAGATGTTTGCCTTCATGGAACTTCAGCAGAAACTTACATTTTAATGTCTTTTGAGTCTTATTTGAGCTGTCCCTTGACTTCTTAGGTTCTGGTAACCTCACTTTTTCCCTTTGTGCCACAAACTTAGGTGTGGTATCTTTTTTTAGCCATTAGTGATCTCTGGTTACCTGAGTGTTCCCTTTTTTCTCTCTTAACCTTTCAAAGAACAAATATGTGTCTCCTTTCTAAAAGGGATCCTGACTGATATGGGATGAAAACCTAAACAAATATCTGTTTGCAATGAGAAAAAGTTGGGAAAGTGAAAGCAAAGCCTGAGGAGGAACCCAGTCTATAATCACTAGATGATGTATCCCCAGCTGGGACACTGCCAAGCAAAAGGCCATGGGTCAGCGATACTAACAGAAATTGAGGACTGATTTCTGTAAAAGCGGCGCATATCTAGGCATAACCAGTAAATTTATCCCTAGGCATCTATCTACATGAAAGGGTTTGTGTTGAACAGAAAGAAATCTTTTAGGAGAAGTTTTCTGAATAGGTACCCAGTGGCAGAGAAGGTACCAAAGTGGGGAAGGAAGAAGGAAGAGACTGTAGAAAGAAAGCACGGTGATGCTTCCTCTGTCCACTCACAGGGTCTAGGTCTGCCCCCCATGGAGAGACAGGGAGCAGGCTGGCCAGAGAAGACAAGCAGCACTACTTGAAGCCCAGGTGACAGCTGGCTGGAGCGTTCTCTGACTCTGAACTCTGTGGGGTCTGGCTCATTCTCTCTTTGGGCCCACTTTATCTGGGCTTTCATCTCATCATTCCACCAAAACTGCTCTTGTAAAGGCCACAAATGACCTCTGTACTGCCAAATCTGTCACTCAAATGTCAGTTCTCATCTGACTTCGATATCAGCATTGCTAATCTTTTGTTTTCTTCTCCAGAAGCTTGTATTTTAGAGACATTCAGCTGCTCTGAATGAGTGCCAAATAGCTAAAGGAAAATGAAACCATCATCTAATCCATTTGACTAATAAGAGTGATGACAATAGTAATAGCTGACATTATTGAGCATTTACCATGTGCCAGACAACATTCTAAGCACCTTATGTGGATTATCTCATTTAATCCTCACTGCAGTCTTGTGAGATAAATGCTATTATTATCTTCATTTTATAGATGAGGTCTCTGAGGTACAGAAAGATTAAGTAACTTGCCAAAAGTCACACAACCAGTAAGTGGTAGAACCAGGAAGTCTCCGTATTTCCATTGTTTGAACTCAAGCGAATCGAATTCCCTATCAGAATTTTCAAATTGTCATCCGCATATGTTTTGGTGATGTACATATCAGAAGGAGAGAGAACTGAGTTTAAGGATGTCAGGTTCTTAGAAAGATCACCACACTATTCTGCCTTCTCCACACTACTGTCTTAGTTCAGACCATGGCTGGCCATGGTGTACTGACCTGCAGCCAGAGGGGTCAGAACACCATTCAGAGGGACCCGGAGGGGTGTGCAGTCCAGCAGACAGAAGGTCTATGGATGGCCAACAACATTCAAGAGGCCCCGGGTTCACAGAGCAGGACAACAGGAAATCTCAGGAGTGGATGATGTTCTCATCAAAGGCCAATGGAGACATCCATTGGAGGGTTCCAGGGACCGAGACACCGGGTTGAGATTCAGGAGTAGAACTATTACCCCTGAGAAAGGAACTGGAAGAACAAAGCAAAACAGGAGCCCTAGTGGGAAAGATATTTCAGCAGATTATAAAAATTGAGACTTAGGAGCAACATACAAAGCATAAAACCATAGGCTCCAGGAGGGCAGGGAACCTGTTTGTCCTGCACCATCATATTCTCCTACACAATCTGGCACACACCCCATACTGTTCTATGACTTCCAGGTATCCAGTCTCAAACCAAAGGCCTGCCACCAATAGCATGGCCAAGTTCATATTCAGTGGATATTGAACACTACAAGAGGTGCTGTGCCAGTTTCTCTCATGCTGGGTCTAGGAGCACTGGACTAGGAGTTCTTGAATGTCCCCAGCTAAGGATATACACATACTAAAGACCAGGTTGAGGCTGGATCTGCAGTCTGTAGTCTTAGCAGCCAACAGAGAAGGCATGTGAAGGATAAAAACTAGACACACCAACCAATTTCCTTTTATCTTTCTTTCCAGAAGTATTCTTCATATTTCTAAATTTTTATATAATTGCTCATTCAAGTCATACTGCTGGCAGAGGCTGAATGTATCACCAAGCACTCTCAAAGTCTGATAAAAACTGATCGGATAGTCTGATGTTTTTTGAATAACCTTAGCAAAGAAATCAATTAAGATCAGAAGCAGATTGTTTCCCCCCAAAAAAATTTTTTTTTGGTAAATATCCTTTATGTATTGATTTTGACCTGGCTTGTTACTATACATTTTTAACCATTGTTGAAATACTCCATAAAAATGACTAAATACTAAAACTAAGTGACATCAGTATTCAAAACAAAATCAGCTAGTTAAAAAGGACTCATTCACATAAGTACAGAAGCACCTTTTGGTTTTATTATTGGTTAATTATTGCTTTATTGTTAATATGGTTAATATATTTACTTCCTATTATTTCAAAATGTAAAATCGTGCAAAACTGTGAATTCGTTACAGCAAAACTTCCAGTGCTCTTAAAATATATTTTCTTTGTGACAATGGTGCACTTCCCTTTCTTGTTGGTTTATCATCCCATGAACCGTAAAGTCCCAGTCTCAGTGACTGAATCTTTAACTTCATGAAGTCTCTGCATCATCAGAAAGTTCATGTCACTCAAAGGATGACACATAGAACAGTGGTCCCCAACCTTTTTGGCACCAGGGACCGGTTTCCTGGAAGACAAATTTTCCATGGACAGGGTGGTGGGGATGGTTTTGGGGTGAAACTGTTCCATCTCAGATCATTAAGCATTAGATTCTCATGAAGAGTACACAGTCTAGATCCTTCACATGCACAGTTCACAATAGCTTCGTGCTGCTCTGAGAATCTAATGCAACTGCTTATCTGACAGGAAGCAGAGCTCAGGTGGTAATGCTCACTTGCCCACCACTCACCTCCTGTTTTGCAGCGGCTTCCTGACAGGCCATGGACTAGTACTGGTCTGTGGCCCCGGGGTTGGGCCTCCGAATGTAGAGTCAACTGTCCTTGCTCATAGAATTCCACTTTAACCTTCTCCATCTTATTATTTCCATCTGACCAAAAATACTTCCATTATAAAGAATGATGAAACAAGAGAATACATCAGAGAAGTTAATTTAAAACACTGTAGTTCTAAATTTGAATTGAAAGTGACAGTATAAATTCAGTATAAACTGAAACATTGGAAAAGATATTTTAAGACAACTAGAAACGTGAACACTGACTGGATATTTGGTAATACTAAAGAATTATTGCTAAATCTCTTGGGTATGATAATGATATCATAGTTGTGGTTTTTTTTAACAGTCTTTATCTTTTAGAAAACCATACAAACATTTTCAAATAAAATGATATGATGCCGAGATTCTCTTAAAAATACTGCAGGAGTGGAGGAAGCAGGTGTTGAATTTGGATAATGGGTATGTGAGTGTTAACAGTACTAAACCGTCTCTCTGTATACTTCTACTCCTTCTGCATCTCAATTTTGTTAATTTTCAATAGGGCCAATAATAACAGCCATAAGATTATTATATATATGTATACATATGAGTGTGTGTGTATATACATATACACACACATACTGAAGTAGCTTGAGTATGACTGGAGAGTCATACTTGCCTAGCGGCTCAACAATGTTTTCCTCCAGAAACTCTTCATATGTTTGTGCAAATTAAGATACTTAATTCTCTTGCTTTCAAATAATCTTAATTCTTTTGCTTTCCACTATCATAGGGTTTCCCGCCACAGATTCACTTCATCCTCCTCTTTCCTTCATAGAAAGTAGGTTGAATCAGATTGAATATGAATAAAGAGAATCTAATTAGATAGCAATCCAAAAGGAAGTCAATTAGACATGTCATTTTGAGGGGTAGAAGAAGTGGTAAATGCTGGCTTATTGTATTAGTCCATTTTCAAACTGCAATGAAGAAATACCCAAGGCTGGGTAATTTATAAAGAAAAAGAGGTTTAATCGACTCATATTTCCATATGACTGGGGAGGCCTCACAATCACGGCAGAAGGTGAAGGAGGAGAAAAGCACGTCTTACATGGCAGCAGGCAAGAAAGCATGTACAGGGGAACTGCCCTTAATAAAACCATCAGATCTGGTGAAACTTATTCACTGTCATGAGAACAGCATGGAAAAAAACCCACATCCGTGATTCAATTACCTCCCACCAGGTCCCTGCCATGACACATGGGGATTATAGCAGCTACAATTCAAGATGAAATTTGGGTGGGGACACAGCCAAACCATATCACTTACATTTTTAGTTTCTAAGGAACGTACTGTTTGTTACTAGTCTTCAGTACTAGAGAAAAACCTTTGAGCATCATATAGCATAAGATAGCCCTAATTCTTCTGTGCATCTGGGGAAATGTTACTTCTGCAATCTCTAATATGCAAAAGGCTGAGGAACATTACTGTGTCTCTTGTTACACTTCCAGAATTTTCCCTCCAATCCCTTGAGTTACCAGCAGTTAGCATTCATTAAGAAGTCAAGGCCAGGCATGGTGGCTCATTCCTGTAATCCCAGCACTTTGGGAGGCTGAGGCAGGTGCCTTGCTTGAGCCCAGGAATATAACACTAGCATGGGCAACGTGGCAAAATCCTATCTCTACAAAGTGGGGAGGATCACCTGAGCCTGGGGAGGTTGAGGCTGCAGTGAGTCGTGATCGTGCCACTACACTCCAACCTGGACAACAAAGTAAAGAAAGTCAATACCTGAAACAAGTTTCTGAGGGCTAATTTCAGTCCACTAATGTAAATAATAATAATAATAATAATAATAATAATAATATAAATTATTTCCATTTTATGTATAGGAAAACTAATGTTAAAGAAGGTTAAATAACTTTTCCAAGAAATTCAATAACCAGTGAGAAACAAAGCCAGGATTCAACCCCGATCTCGCTTGATTCAATGTCCATGCTCTCCGCCATGCTCACAGACCTCCTTCAAACTTAGAGAAGCTACTCCAGGGAAGTGCACACCATGTTCTCTCTTTAAATGCATGACCACAAATTCTCAGTAGGTGCTCAACTCTGCTGGGAAATCCTGCTACACTCCTCTATTTAGGTCAGTCCCTCTCTATTATTTATCATTTATGATAAATAAAAATCACAACACTGCCCTTTGCCACACATCTCCCTCCAACTACTGCCCGATTTCTCTGCTCTCTTTCATAGCAAAATTTCTTGAATGAATAGCCTCCTTTTCCTTCCTTCCTTTTCTCTGCTCCCCTACTACAATGAGGCATCCATCTCACAATAGAAATTGCTAATGTCATAGGCTCTAATGACCCCCATCTTCCCAAAGTTAATGCAAGATCTTCTCAACCAACATCAACCACTCTCAACACAGTTGATCATACCCTCCTTGAAACTCTCATCTCTTAGTCTCCATGACACCAAGCCTTGGTGCACCAAGGCAGGAATGAGGGTTAGGTGAATTCAGGGCACAGAAAGAAAACCAGTGTGGCTGGAGGGTGCAGAGTGATGGGAGAGCAAGATGAGGTATTTGAGGTGCTAAGGAGACATAGCATCATGTGAAAATCTAAAAGGTGAAGGGAAGAGTTTGCGAGGCTTTAAGGGGATTTTAAGCAGGTAACCAGTGTGCTCTTCAAAGGTCACTACAGCTGTTTGGCAAGTGGACCATGCAGGCAAGAGAGTAGGAACAAGGACAATTAGCAGGCTCATAATAAATTCTAAGAAGTGTTTGTTAGCTTGAATTAAATTGGGAAGAAGAAGGAGGGCACCAGTAAGCAGAAATGTCTGGAGGACAGAAACAGAGCCAAAGACTGCAACTACAGGCAGCAGATAAAGTGCTCTAGGAATTAGTGAGGGGACAGTCTCACCCGTGGGATTCAGCCCAGTTTCCAGCAAACCCAGGAAATTGCCAAATGAGGCCCCCTGTCCAGAAGTGGCTGTGGAGTCCAGTTGCTCCTCTAAATGGTGAGTAAGCTGCCTTCTTCAGCACCTGCAATTCCTATCAAGTAATGTTCGGCAGCAGGGAGAATTTGACTCATTATCTTCCACTGTATCTGTCATGTCACATTACTCTTAGGGCCCTGACAGAACACTCTAGAGGCATGGTGCATTATGACTTGACACCAGTTACCCAGTGCTGTACCTCATTAGAGGGAGCAGGGAAGGCGTAAGCTAGGGGTAACCCGCTTTGTACTATCCCAACTCTCTCCATGACTTCATTAGTCTCTTGATCTTTTTGTGGTTGTCATTAGGGGCTCAGAGTTTTATGTCCTGGTCAATTTCCAAATGACAGCTTTTAGTGTCAAAGTGATCAAGGAGAGCTGCTTTCCCCTCCCCCTGTGACAGCGGCAGACAATCACAGGAAATTGATCATGTTGGATAAACTCACCTGATCCTAAAAATGATATTGGCTTCATGCTCCAGGGCAGGGCAAAAACAACTGAAAAATAATTGCCAGTACACCCCAGAGGGAAATTCTTTCCCTTCCCCAAATTTGACAATCAATCTAATCCAGTACACGTGACTAAAAATCACTGCTGTAAAGAACGTAATTCCATTTACACACCAAAGACGCCATGGCAGTTTGGTTTGAATAGGGGGTCATTTTGTCTAGGCTTTTATTTTTCTTCATGAGAGACTATATTTGCAAGACTAGCAAGGACATACAATACTAAAATAACAATCATATTTAGGACAAAATAAGCATGTCTTAATGCATGTTCTTACCAATCTTAGTCTTTAGCCGTGTTTTGATCATTCCTTCTCAATTTCTAAAAACATTCCAAAAACAAAAACTATATGCATCATTGCAATGTTCTTTTCCACCTAGTCTCAGAGTTAAATGTGCTAGCTATCTTCGGAAAACACTCAAAACACTCAACATTTTGTGTTACTTTAGGCTTTTACAAATGGAAAGTCTCCAGATGGGTTTATTCATCTCTCTGGAAGTGAGGAATCAACCTGACCAATATGATTCAGAGAGAGAGAGAGAGAGACTTTCTGTAACCAGGAAAAACAGTTTACATTCCTTTACATTTAAACTCCAGATGCAAGCAGGCTTTGAATTTTTATATTCCTTGAATTCTTAGGGAAGTACTGGGGAAGGCACTTGGGTAAAGTTGCTCTCTAAATTAGTATGAGAGTGTTCATTTAGAGGTTGTGACCCTATAGTGTGTGCTTCTGTCTTGAACATATTCAGCTAAATATGGCATGTCTACTCATCACTTAAGAGTACCTGGCTGGGTGCAGTGGCACACTCCTGTAACCCTAGCACTTTGGGAAGCCAAGGTGGGCAAATCACTTGAGCCCAGTTGTTCAAGACCAGCCTGGGCAACACAGCAAAACCCCATCTCTACAAAAAAATAAAATAAAATAAAATAAAAAAAGAGTACCCAACTTTCTACAACAATATGGGCTGGTGCTCATTTGTATGTTATTAGAGTCTGATTTGTTGTTTTTCTTCTGAAACCTCTGCTCTCTCCCTAAGTCCTTCAAGGTCCAGAGGTCCTCACCTGCCATGCACCCGCCTCAGGGCCACCCACCATGCCAGTTTGCCACCACGCCTCCTGTCTGCTTTTTTCCAACTAGGAAAATGGTCCTGATTAGTGTATAAGAAACCAAACTGTTTAGGGGAAAAAAAGCCAGAGTTCTAGCAAATGAACCAGGATTAAATTTCAGAACTACGTTTCCTAGACTCTACAAAATGTAGTCGTAAGGAGATTCAGTAGCCAATAAACATACAAGAAACTCTGAAAGTGTTCAACAAGGAGGTAAGTTGATAAAGGACAAGGGAGACATCAGAAGACACATGACAAGCTTGCCCAATGTCATCCAACGACAGCATCTAACTATAAGCAGTATGTCAGTAATATTTCCCATCCACAAAATATGGTCTGTTTTTATACCCCTGTATCTATCTATTTATTTACTCACAAGGTGAATGTGTGTGTTTTTCTTCACATTTTCCTGAAGATATCAAAGGCCATAAAACTTAGAAAGTAAAAACTACAAATGAAAATTATGTGGTGTGCATGTTTTCTGGATTTGTTTTAGAGGGCTTAATAGGCAAATATTTTTGTCAAATGAAGGTTAAATTTACTTGGATATAGGGTGATCTAAGAGCTCAGAATGAATGGAGCTATGTCACCTAGTTAGGCAGTGTGGACTCAGGCAGGATCCTAGCTCTAGTATTGATTTCTTGTTGTAATTCTTTGGGTAAGCTTCTACTCCTTCTGCATCTCAATTTTGTTAATTTTCACTGGGGCCAATAATAACAGTCATAAGATTATTGTAAGGATTTAGTAAAACAGTATGTGTCAAACAACAAGCATAGTTCCTAGCATACCTTAGGTGATCAATGGATAACTAGTTCTTTCCCCTTTTACCTCCAGTTAGATTTTAGACATATACAACAATCTAGGTTTATAACGTTTTTTAGAAGTCCGTACTTACATTGTAGTATAATCTGTAATCAGCTTGAATATAACTATGAGATGTTTTTCCTTCACTCTAGATTCAGGTTTATGTCTTCCTCTTGTTTATTTGAGGACTAAAGTCAAAATGTCTATACCATCCTGTACAGCCACGTATGGGTCTTGAGCACTTGAAAAGTGACTGGTCCAGCTTCAAATGTGCTGTAAGTATAAAAACACACCAGATTTCAAAGACTTAGAACAAAAGAGAGAATGCAAAATATCTCATTAAGTTTTATAGTGATTGATTACTTTTATTATTATTATCATTATTTCAGAGAAAGAGCCTCTCTCTGTCTCCCAGGTGGGAATGCAGTGGTATGATCGTGGGCTCACTACAGCCTTGAACTCCTGGGCTCAAGCAGTCCTCCCACCTCAGCCTCTTAAGTAGCTAGAACTAGTGCCACCACACCCAGCTAATTTATTTTATTTTTAGTAGAGACAGGGGCTCACTATGTTGCTCAGGCTGGTCTTGAACTCCTGGCCTCAAGATATCTTCCCACCCTGGCGTCCCAAAGTGCTGGGATTACAGGCATGAGCCACTACACCTGGCACATTTTTAACGACAATATTTTCTGGATAGTGGGTTGAATCAAATCTATTATTAAAATTACCTTCACCTATTTCTTTTTCCCTTTTTAGTGTGGCTACAGGAAAATTTAAAATTATATATGTATTTCATGTTATATTTCTATTAAACAGCATTAGTCTAGAGAGTAAAGACCCAGAGATATCCCAAATAAATCTCGAAAGGTGGGGCTGAGTGTGGTGGCTCACACCTGTAATCCCAACACTTTGGGAGACCGAGGTAGTCAGATCACTTGAGGTCAGGAGTTCAAGACAAATCTGGCCAACGTGGTGAAATCCCGTCTCTACTAAAAATACAAAAATTAGCTGGGCAGGGTGACAGGCGCCTGTAATTCCAGCCACTCGGGAGGCTGAGGTAGGAGAATCACTTGAACCCTAGAGATGGAGGTTGCAGTGAGCCAACATCACACCACTTCACTCTAGCCTAGGTGACAGAGCAACACTCCATCTCAAAAAAAAAAAAAAAGATATCTCAAACAGTGAGCTGTTGACCATGTTCACCAACAGCCCAAGGGCCAAACTCAGAATTCAGAGTCCACAAACTTAGTGAGCTCAGTCCTCCTGTTGCTTTATGTCTGGCTTAGCTGACCGCTCCCCTTCGGTTCCTGCTTTTTCTGACGATGAGAAGTAACCCACCACTGCAGGAAAAGAGCTAAACCAGGGCTATCAATCTAAATGAACCATACTTCCAGTGCTCAGTAGCACAGGTGATTAATGGGGACTACACTGGGCAGCCCAGTTCCAAAGAACAACACCCTCATATCTTCCTGAGTATAAGATCGTTCCCTCTGGTGAAATTGGGGTGGATTTTTACAATAGAAATATAGCCTCCCCCAAAAGAACCAAGCTCAAGACATTCCCCTAATCTTAACCAAGCCCTACATTTTTATGTGTTAAGATTACAATAAGGCCTGGCGCAGTGGCTCAGGCCTGTAATCCCAACACTTTGGGAGGCTGGGGCAGGCAGAGAGCTTCATCTCAGGAGTTCAAGATCAGCCTGGGCAACATGGTGAAACTCCTTCGCTACAAAAAGCACAAAAGTTAGCTGAGCATTGTGGCGCATACCTGTAGTCCCAGCTACTCAGGAGGCTGAGACAGGGAGATCACTTGAGCCCAGGAGGTCAAGGCTGCAATGAGCCAAGACTGCGCCACTGCACTCCAGCTGAGGTAACACAGTGAGAGCCCATCTCAAAATTTAAAACAATTACAATAACACCCTTAACTCAAATACTAGCCTCAATTTAATTGTTTAGGTTTGGCCTGGCAATGAGAAGTGTTGGCCTTATAATAGGCTTATAAAAGACTGATGGCCTAAGAGAAAGCAACCGAATTGCTCATTTGCTACTACGTGCTGGATGTTGAATTTTAACCCTTGAAGAATTCAGACGCACACACCTCGACTAATTGCACACTGGGTATGGAACATAGAAAACAGTGGCCATGTAGGAGTCTGAATCAAAAGGGCTTTTTTAGGTTAAGTTGTTATTCTTGCCTTTCACTGAATGACAAAATATTTTTTTAAATCATGAAACACCATGCAGTGTGCATCTCAGTGTCTAAGGCCCCATTAGTAGACCAGTTGTATTATGGAATGGTGTATAATCTACAAAACCACACTGGCTTATTTTACACTGAAGATTGTACATAGGATTTTTAAAGTGACACCTTTAAAATACTGGGGAAATAAAGATGAACCCTTTCCATATAGAATTCTGAAAACTAATTTTTGCAAGGGCATTAATTATTATTCTGGGGTAAATGCAATTTGAGATTTCCCCGTCCCCAAAGAAAGAAGGCTCAAGTGGAGCTCGTGGTCAGGGAGAATTGGGGAGCTGTCATGAACTCGCCAGAGTTATGCTCATGTGTTATGCTCAGAACACTAACCATTTCTCCTCGTTCCTTGATTTGACCAGATATCTTAAATTGATTTATCCACTTCATAAAATGTGCTCCCTTTAGAAAAGCAAATCTGCGCTTTTTAAAGAGCAAATGTCAGTTAGTTGAGTTGTTAGACCACACGGGAAGCACAATGGCAGGAGCAGTGTAATTAGGAAAGCCGTCCTCTCTTTCTCTCAATTCTACCCAAATAACCATGAACTAATTATTCAGCCCCTCTCAGTCTCTGTTTCCCATTAGTAAACTGAAAGCAATGACTGCAGCTCTCCTTACCACACAAAGACGTCTGGATGGCTAGCAGAAATGACAGCATGGCTCCTTCCTCTACTTCGGGCACACAGGGGATAAGGACTCGACTACCGATTCTATCCCCTAATCCCCCTCCTTCTCCTACCACCCCATGCAGCTAAGAGCAGAGAAACAGAAGACAGTTCTGTACAGCAGGACTCAAAGAAAAAAGTAGTTAACTGAAAGCAATTAATTCTTGGTGGTTTTGAGAAAACCCAGAACTCCTAGCTAACTTCATCTAGCTTCGTAAGTCACTAAAAGCCCAGTGCCTTTTCTGTCTCCAGCACTGTACCAGCCTCCGGAGGAAATACAACAGACCTTCCAGACCTGATCACCATACTCTATTTATAATCCCGCCACGGAGAAGACATCCACTCATGAAGCCAGCAGAACAGACGTGGGCAACTTTCAAAAACAAAGTCACAAATGGTCAGCTCCTGTTATTCTGTAGTGCTAAGGATGGAAGGAGAAAGAGTGAGTAAAACATACGCCTAATCCCACACGTGGCTGACAAAGTGTAGCGGGGTTTGCACAGGCCAGCTCTTGAAAACTCATTATGCAGTGGTCAAGGAACAGCAGGGATTCGGGTGCATTCAGCCACTGAATACGAGGAATATACAGTTTCAAAATCGGAAGCATACACAGTTAAATCCATAGATGGCTTCAGGAATTTTTAGTAGAAAATATGAAATTTCAACAAAATGTGTGTACCATGCTGTTTCAACTTGTCCTGCTCGAAAGGACACATTCACTTCCCTTTGCCCCTAGTGGTTCTTTAATGTAACTTACATTACATTCTTTTTGAGAACTTACATCAAATTTCTTGAGCTTTTTTGCTACCACTAATGGTACTTGTCACTCAAGTGTTTCAATAGACATATTCTCAGAGAGGATCCTCTGAGGTACAGGGATAAGTGCTAACCTTCATTCTTCTGAAAAACAAATGTAAAATGGTCAAGCCAAAAAACAGGACCACCTCTGGTAGGTCCTCAGAAGCATCAGGCCGTGCTGTGGGGCATTCCTAGAGGCAAACAGCACACATCCATGAGGAGCTCAGTGTGTAGTAAACAGATCCAGCCCATCTTTTTTATTTTCAATTTATTTGTCAATACGGCCAAGTTTTAAAAGTCCTGGAGTTGTGGCAGGCAAGTGGGTTACATTAAAGGTTCTGTTTGGAGGCAGAGAGATGGAAGATAAAGGATGTGTCTTTAAATTTCCCCTGAACTTGTTACTTTCCAACTCTAAAATGCTTTTGGCAAGAGAAAATAACACATAAGACAACTTCTGCTTATACATGAAATATCAGAAACTGAATTTATCCTCCTGCTTAAACAAGAGGAAAACAGAACAAAACCTGTGACTGGTTTTCAGACATTAAACAACAGGCAGTGTGAGACTGTGATGTCAAGAAGATAGTAACTGGCTACAATTGGTGAAAGCCATTTTCAGGCTGCAGGACACGGAGGATGAATCCAAACACAGACCAGCAGTTCTATTGAGTTGTGGAGTCAGAGACTAGAGATCAGAGAAGCCAAGGCAGCTAAAACTTGAGGGGCAGAGAAACCAGGAGCGAAACGACTGTATATACAGAGAGAACTCCAGTATCTATAAAGGAAGGTCCTCAAGTATTTGGCTGAGTACTGATCTGCAATTGCAAAGAGGAAGGAGGAAGAGGAGGAGGAAGAAGAGGAGAAGGAGAAGAAATTGCCAGAGGTGAGAAAAAGAATCACTGGAAGTGATACACAGAATAATTGCCAAAGCTTGTTCAGGGCTGGAAATAATTTGTACTCCAGCAGGCAAAGTAGTTAACTGAAATCAATTAATCCTTTATGGTTTCAAGAAAACCCAGAACTCCCAGGTTATTTAATCTGGCTTCGTAAATCAGAAAGATCTCATAATATGGGGCATCAGGTAGGATCCACAAAAGGGTATTATATTACCTTAACAACGAGATTAAATTAGACCTAGATTAAAGACTGCTGTGAAACTGCCCTAACAAAGTATAAAAGCAAATCAAAAAGAAAAGCTAATTCAAAGTCACTTAACAGTGCACAAAATCCAGCAAGTAACAGTATAACCTTCACAACGTACAATATCTGATTTTTAAAAAATTACAAGGTATGAAAAGAAGCAAGAAAATGTGTTCTATAGCAATAGAAAATCAATACATGGAAACAAGCAAAGAAATAACAGAAATGATGGGACTAACAAACAAGAGTGTTACAACCAATAAATAATAATAAAAATTGGAAATGCATAGCTACTAAGTTAAAAGTAAAGATGACATGAAACCATAAAAAAATTAATCTAGGCCGGGCACGGTGGCTCACACCTGTAATTCCAGCACTTTAGGCAGCTGAGATGGGAGGATTGCTTGAAGCAGTTTGAAA